ACATCTAGAGCAGCGGTTCTCAACCTTCCTAATGCCGCGACCCCTTAATACAGTTCCTCGTGTTGTGGTGACCCCCAACCATAAAATTATTTTCGTTGCCACTCTGTAACTGTAATTTTGCTACTGTCACGAATCGTAATGTAAATATCTTTTTGTTTTCCGATGGTCTTAGGCCACCCCTGTGAAAGGGCCGTTCGACCCCCAAAGGGGTCGCGACCCACAGGTTGAGAACCGCTGATCTAGAGGAAAGGAAGAGGAGATAAATTCCGTTTTAGACATGGTGAGATTAAGTGCTTGTGAGATTTCTGGGTGAAGATGTTTGGAAATTAGTTAGACAATAGGGTTCTGGGATCTAAGAGAGAGCTAGACTAGTCATCAACATTTAGAAATTATTCAAGTGCAGCAGGTATTTAATGCTATCAAAAAATAATTTTTGTTGTTAACAGAGATCTTGAAGACTAACACATATTCAAATCACAGTCAGATTAAAGGAAAACCAATGAAAGACTGGGAAGGAAGGAATGAGCAAGCACATAAAAGAAGTAGGAATGAGTGGTATCTTAGAAGTCAAAGGAAAAGAGTTTTAAAAGGGAGGCAATAAATTCTGGATTAAATATGGTGAATGAACCCATTCATAGTAAAAGATTATAAAAGATAAAGAGAATGGGAGTGGAGACTGCAGCAGATAATAGATTTCAACAAAATTTTGGAAAATGTAAAACAGATAATTGATTGGTAAGAGATCTGGGTTATTTTTTATTTTTTAAGGGTCTACAAATGGAGAGAGGGTGAAGGAGGCCCCCAAAAAGCAAGTGAAAATGGTGGCTCAGGTATCAGAGGCACTTAGTACCTGTCAGGCAGGGCAGGAGTGCAGGTGGTGCCGAGAGCAGGATTGAACATTTATATAAGGAATAGTTCGACCCTCCTTTTTCTTCCCCCAGTCCAGGCAGATAGACAAGTGTTTCTTTCCTCCCACATAAAGACTGAAGATTTGCTCTCTGTAGGCTGAAGTGGAGACTCTAGACGGGTACTTCAGACATGGCTGAGGGTGGGGTATGAGCATCTCACTGGAAAACAACAAAAGGCGGGAGAATTCATTGAAAGTCTGTATGCTGACTCAGGTCAGTATACACTGCTGCTCACCAGGTTTACACTCCCCAATAAGGAGGTTAGAGGATTCTACTCCAGGTAAATTGATCAGACCAAGAGAAAATAACACCAATACTGACATTTGAAGGTCTCCAAACAAACTGCCACTGTGTGTATGGCCCAGCAAGTAACAAGCCCTGCTCATGCACACAGAATTTTGTCAGCTTTTTATTGCCTCACCCTGAATGTGAAGAGACAGCCAAGATCACCAGACTTTGAGGAAATTCTCTACTCAGAAAGACAGAGATCAAAACAAATAAAAAGCAAACAGAAAATGTGACTAGAAAAGAAACATGAAAAATATAGGAAGCAGAAGAAAACTTTTTTAAAATGTATAATTAATTTCTTCAGAAAGATAAGATGTTTTATGGATGAAACAAGATAAAGGTGCTATTTTTGAAAAGGAATAGAATGCAAGAAGAATTCTTGGAAATTTAAAATATGATGCCAGATATTGTACTAAAAATTAAATCAGTAGAAAGATTAGAGAGAGGGGAAATATTCCAGAAAATGTAACAAAAAAGACAAGAGGTTTTTGTTTGTTTTAAGAAAAAGACGAGGGAAATTTTAAGAAAATTAGGGAATTAATCCTGGAGATCTAATAGCTGAACAATAAAAATTTCCAGAGTGTAGGAACGGAGAGAGTGAGAGAAGAGGAGAAAAGAGAAGAATTTATTAATGAAAATGCAAAATGAATTCCCCAGAATTGAAGCTATTATATATGAGCTTCTAAACTGAAAGGATGCACTGAATGCACACCACAATATATTTCAAAAGACCGTACACGAAAGGTTACGTATTGTATGATTCTATTTATATGAAATATCCAGAATAGGAATTCATAGAGACAGAAAGCAGATGAGTGACAGCTGAGGGGAGCGGGGAGGGGACGTAAATTCTTTTTTTTTTTAAGGATATTTTTATTGGGAAATTGGGGGAGGGGAACAGTGTTGGCAAATTGGGGAAGAGGACCAGCCAAGTTGTTGTTCTTCAGTCTTCCTTGTGGAGGACACCATCATCGCAGCTCGTGCCGGCAGCTCGTGGCCTCTAAGCTCAAGGTGCTGTGTTCAATCTTAGTTGCAGGTGGGCGTAGCCACTGTCCCATGCGGGAGTCGAACCAGCAGCCTTGTTGTTAAGAGCGCACGCTCTATCTGCTGAGCCATCTGGGTGGCAGCTCAGCTCAGGGTGCTGTCTTAGTTGAGGGTGGGCATAGCCCACCATCCCGTGCAGGAGTCGAACCCAGCAGCCTTGTTGTTAAGAGTGCACGCTCTATCTACTGAGCCATCCAGGCAGCAGCTCAGCTCAAGGTGCAGAGTTCAGTCTTAGTTGCAGGTGGGCATAGCCCACCATCAAACAGGTAATTTTGTTGTTACACCAGCTGAGCCATCCTGCCACCTGTTGGCAGTTCAGCGACAGCTCAGCTCGGGCACAGCATCACTGGCCCATGTGGGAATTGAACTGGCGATGCTATTGCTCAGAGCTCACGCTCTTAAGCCAACTCTTAACTAACTGAGCCACTGGGCCGGGAAGTAAATTCTTCCTGAGTATGAGATTTAGATGATAAAAATGTTTTGCAACTAGATGGAAGTGGTTTTTGTATAACATTGTGAATGTAGTAAATGCCACTGGATTGTTTACTTTAAAAGATTATTTTATGTTATGTGTATTTTACCTCAATTCAAGAAAAGAACACCACATGCTGAGGTATATGAAATTTAAGAAGACCAGGGATAAAGAGATTCTGAAAACAGCTGGAGAGAAAGGATCTCATATTGTGTTACTCAGAATAAACTAAAGTATAATATAGGAAAAAATAAACCCTGCAATTTTAATGACGTAATTGAACCTTTTCCACTCGTGTTACATGTCCATCATGAGGGAGAACACTGCTCCACGTTGTTACTCAAGGTTGTAGGCTGATGGAGGCTTTACCATCTTACAATGTTGCCATCCCAACACAGGGTTTCTAAACTGCGGGAAGAGAGAGTGTCGAAAACTCCTACTCTCCAGTGCTTTGGCTAGAATCAGTCGTGTGGACCTTCCTCAGTGCTACGGAGTTGGAAGGTGCAGTCTTCCCAGGTGCTCAGAAGGGGCAAGTGGACCTGGCACTGCTGAGCACAAGAAGTGTCTGCTGTGCATACTCAGGAACCGGAGTCAGACTAGCATTAGACTCACCTAGTTTGAAGCTAGAAGACATTGGAGCAAAGCTTTCAGAACTCCGAAGGAAAATTTTTTCCTGTACAACTGTGTATCTAGTCAAACCATCAGTCAAACGTGGGGTAGAAAATTAATCTTCTCAGAGGAACAAAGTCATAAAGCATTTACCTTCTATACATCCATTTCAAGGAATTATCAGGAGATATGTTACACTAAAATGAGGGAATAAAGCAGGAAGAGGAAGACTTGAGATCTGGGGCAGGTTGTTTTGCACAGGATGCAGCCCAGCCTGCAGCAGGAAGGTTAAAAGGCTGGGGAAGGGGGAACAAGGAAATATAATGTGATAGAGTACCTGATATGTTTGACAAGACTGAGAGTTTTACGGTTCTTTAAGAACTTGGGCTGTGTTTGAGAGAGATATATAAAAAATTAGCAAAACAAAATAAGGCATTATGAGCTCCAAAAAAAGACTAAATGGCTATTTGGATGATAAATATAGTCATAGCATGTGATATGACTGAGATAAAATAATAGTCATAATATAAGTAGTTATAGATGGACAAAATGTAACCCTTATGAGGATGATAGGATATGAGAGCTTAATCATCTATAAGAGATTGTCAATAAGTAATGTCTAAAATGGAAAAATAAAGAAATAGCAGTAAGTCATTTAGAAATAAAAATGGAAATGTCAGAAGAAATGGCTAAAATTTAAAACCTGTTGCTTCTAGGAAGTGAATTTTAGGAACGGAGTTGAATAGGACAGCTTACATTATACATATTGTAGGACTGATGCCTTTTAAAATTATCTAAATCTATTATTTTGACTTTTTTATTTTTTAAGGAGGCAGGGGCAAAGAGCGCCACATACTGCAAAGAGCCTACATGAAATGAAAATTTTAAAAGGAGCCATAGGCTTTGGCAGATAGGAAGGAGGTTACAGTGATCTTGAAGCAGTTCTGGTGGTTGAGTGGTGGGTATAGACCAAGTTGCAGTGGATTGAAGAGTGAAAGAATAGAGAAATTATATCACATACTTCAAATGTGTAAATTGAAAGAGACCAACTGACATACAGGATTAAATAAGGAGATATACAGAATATATTATCCTCAATTAAATGTAGAATATGAAAATATGACTTGAAATAAATTATAAAGAAGCTACATTATACATTTACACGAATCCCACATAAAACAAAACAAAAAAATTGTTTATTTCTTTAAATAAGCTCTTTTAAAATTATTCATTTTACTGAAACATGTAGGCCTCTCTGCTAAATTGTATCAATAGGGAAAAATAAACTATTGGTATAACATAATTTGTATTCTTTATTTAAATAAAATACCTTTTCAGAATTCCTTTATTTCAATTTAATATCCTTGACTTAAAGAGGGTTGCTTTGTTTGTTTATTCTAAGTCCTTTTTAAAAAGATCTAGGCTTTTAAAATAAGGTGAACCTAATGAAAATAAAAGGGACATTGTTCCTCTACCCTCAGATTTCTGCATTAATCTGATTGCTCTATTATAATTCAAATTCTCTTAGTTCCCCTTTCAGGTTCAAGTTTTTATTCAAGCCTAGTCATGGGAGTTATGTTATCATCTTTAAATTTGGTCATGGAATGTGTTACACCGCCTCGCTCAGGGAAGCGCTACTGGGTTTGGGCTTGGATGGTAACGTTTATTTTCTTTGGCAGAGAAGCTGATCGTCGAGGGGCATCTAACCAAAGCGGTAGAAGAAACAAGGCTTTCAAAAGGTTCGTTTTCTGGGGGCTTTCCGGGGGGAATTTCTGAGGGTTTTGACAACTCTTTTTGGATAATGAAGGTTTGTATACATTTTCAAGGTCATGGTTTTTAACAATCACTTCTTGTAGCTCAAAAAGTGGCAGTTTTGTAATAGTATCAGATAATGATATGAAATAACGGGAGTTCTGTTTTAAGAAGGATATCTTAATTGGAAAGTTTCTTTTTAAAAGGGTATACGTGTGTGTTTAAGTGCTTGAAATAGGTTTCTTTAGGTATTAAATATTAAAGATTTGTTGCCGTCTTTCTCACTTCCAGCATTATTTTTCAGCTTTGATCTCAAATTTTTAACCAAACACAATGTAAATCTTTTTTAAAACAACAGGTGAAAAATGTTTGCAGTTCCATTTTGGGGTTACCGTACCTTTAACATTCCATATGATATTTAATATTTTCTTAATTTTTGGCATCTCAATTTGATTTAAACAAAAGTGATTATGTAGAATCTTCTTATATTTTATAATGAATAGTCCTATAATTGCCTGAAGTAGATTATTCTGTTAATTCTTTTCTTTTACAATTGTCAGACTTAGAGAAGAAAAGTGAGTTTTAAAGCATCATGTTGTCAAGTCACTTTTGTGCATAGGGAAATTGGGCAAATAAATTTGGTGGGATATGCTTATTATTCTAGGACTTCTATCCGAACGTACCGGTGTAAAATTTAAAGCCAAATTTCCAATCATTTTGGTCAATTGAAAAGTGAATGATAAAAGTTTGGAATACTCAACTTCAGTATATTCTGTTTTATGAAAGTAATTGGATCTATTTGGCTTTTAAAAGTATTTAAAAGGATCCTGTAATTTCAAATATCTGGTGGTTTTCATTCTGAATTTTGTGCATGACAGAGACCATATTTGGGGAAAGAATGCACAGAATATGCATCACTAATATTGTTCTGGCAAACAGGCATTGAGTTTCAGAACAGTGAACTATTTTTAGTACATACGGAAATTTATTTCATCTTACTAGGGTGAGATGAGAACAGACTTTAAAATAGCTTTTACTTCACCACCTAAATACCTATTCAGATTAATTGGTTGAGTAGCCAACACTTTGAAGTGGAAGTAGAGCCTTAGGGAAAAAAATCGGCACTTCTTTTTAATGCATTCTCAATTAGAATATACTTGTTTAAAATTATGTGATGTGATTTTTGAAAAGTATTGTGCAGTCTTACTGATTTCCTTTTGAAACCTGGCTATGAAATATGTATTGAAAGCTTTAAAGAGCATTTTTGATCCAGCATTTCCACTTCTGGGTTTTTATCTTAAGGAAAAAATTGAACAGATGTGCAAGGGTATTTGTTTTAGTGTTGTTTTAAGAGCATAAAGAGAAAAACGTAAGTGTCCAATAGTAAGGGCATTTATTAAATAAATTATAGCAAGGAAGTCCATGCAAGTAAATAGAATATACTCTTTAAGAATAATAATACAGATACAAGTTTTATATACCCAGAGATTTTTCTGTTAGCAGTCAACATTCTATTAGCACTCTCACATTAAACATGCAGAGGTAATCCTTGTAACAGACTAGTATAGATGGCTGAAATAAGTTACATTTTAAATTTATATCTAGCTGTAAAGTATTTTCTTTTGGATTTGGCTGAATTGTCTTATTTTTAAAATGCTTTCATTGGTGATGTTTTGGGTGGAATTTTCTTTCCAGCATTGAAAGTATCAGTTGCTAGAAATTACCAATTACCAGCTGTACATATCTTAGTATTGACTTCAGATATTTCACCTCATGCAGAGTGTAATCATAGGTTGCAAATCTTTCTGTTTAAGCCCTTACTCAACTTGCAGTGGTTGTAATGTTTACTATAGCTTTAGGGGTGGAAGTAGAAAGAATATGAGTAGGTGAGACCACCCGATTTAACTTCAGGTTCTACCACTAACTAGCTATATGCCTGCAGGCAACTTACTTTAGCCTCTTTAAACCTCAGTTTCCTCAGTTGTAAAATGAGATTGACAATATTTAATTTGTAGGGTTTTGTGGGAATTTGATGAAATATTGCTTATAAAGCAGGAAGCACCATTCTGGTGTCCAACAAATGTTAGTTCTCCTTTTCCTTCCTGATCCTTAACCTTGCTTTCTTTTCCAGTAATGGTTCTAGTGGTTTATGCAGTGGTCTGTGGGCCCGTTTATGTTGGTTCTGCCCATCCATCATTATGTTTACATAAAAGATACAGTGAAAATAGTTACGGTGTTGTAGACTTCACACTTGGGGAACTATTTTGGTATTGATGTTGGTAGCTGTTCTTCCATTTCCTTCTATATACTATTGGTATATATCTTAATGATCAAGTACCACAGAGGAAATGAACCAGTAATGACTTTTAATACTAGGAAGTTGGGTGCTGCGTCATAGCTGAAGAAGAGATGTTTTGAAAAGAAGTAGACACTCTCCCACTCATTTGTTGTGTCCTGTGTTTCATTCTTGAATACATTTGGTTTGCCTCTATGTAATAACTGTAGTATCAGGACACAAATAAGATGGACCATGACCTGACTTGCTAAAACCTTGCCATTTTACTTACAGTAGATTTGTGCCTTCAGTCACCTTTTTTTGGAGCACCTACTATGGATTGTGTACTGTTCTATGCAATGGGGATATAGCAGTTAACAAAACAGACAAAAATCCCTGCCCTCGTGGAGCTTATATTCTAGTAAGATCTTAAAGATTTGTTCCCACATTTTAGGCAATTTTACCTTCCTGGCTAATACTGTAAGTATAAAATAAAAGTTCCTTCTAAGCCAGAAGAATACTTTTGAAAGTGTATACCTATTGGTTTACCTCAATATCTTGATCATAAAGCGGCCAAGAATATCAAAATCAAGAGTCATTTTTCTGTTTTCCTTTCTGTTCCCCCAGAGTGATTCCTTTTTTTTTTTAATCTTTATATAGATTAGGCATGTTAGCCTGCCTTATTTGAGACTGTAACTTTGTGATCAAAACTAGAGCATTCGGAAATGTCTACTAATAGCACACACTATGAATGACCAAAACAGATTTGATTCCCATGGGCCTCTGTGTTCCATAATTTTACTTCTAATCTAAGTTCCCTGTCTCTCGTCAACTGGTCTTTGACTAGAAATGGCAGTCAGAAAAGAAGCAAAAGGCTTTTTGTAATCAATCATCCATTTCACAAGTTAGGCCGCAAATTCTAGGGGTGTTTTTATATAGAAGAGCCATAACAAGATGTATTTTAGTATTGTATTAAATATCTTGACAGTAATGGTTTGTTTTTTGTGTGTGTGTTTTTAAGATTTTATTGGGGAATTGGGGGAGGGGAACAGTGTTGGGGAATTGGGGAAGGGGACCAGCCAAGTTGTTGTTCT